AGGTTTCTAATGACGAAAGTTTTATTCTGTGCAGTCTTCCTCTGGTACATTTGTTCAATTCTGTTCCATAGAGTATGAGCTTTTGACTCTGTGGAAACATGGTGGAATATGTTGATACTCACCCACTGTCTGATTAAACTGACAGCCATCTTGTGTAACTTTCTCCAATCGTCATCCTTCACATCATCTGGCTTGTTGTCTCCCTTTTCTACAGGATCGTACAGATCTTTGTAGAAAAGTATGTCCTCCTTTTTTTGCTTCCAAATAGAGTAATTTGTTGCTGTGAGCTTCACCATGGTACCCACGTTCTCCTCCATTTAATTTACATTGGCCGATACAGAGCCCAACTTGAGCTCTGATACCACTTGTTGGGCTCAGATGCGCATATGCGAAAGATGTAAATTAAAAATATCAAGGTAAAAATAGTGAACAATAATCTCAATCCCAGCAACTCAAGAATGACAAAAGAAATCTCTTGCAATAAAACATGAATAATTCTTTTCTGATGTGGAAGATCAGATTAAACTGCGACCACAGAGCATACTAAGAATATCCCAAATAAATAAAATATGCAAGAAATAAGACACCAAGATTTAACGTGGAAAAACCTCCAAAATAGAGGAAAAAACCACGGGACAACCTCCGAATAATTCCACTATATTTTCAAGATAATTACAATATCTTTTCACACTTCCCTACACTAGAAATGTAAAATATAGTGACCCAGTGAGACCCCACTCCTAACAAAGAAGTAATATAGTTGATACCCAACGCGGTGTATTTTTTCCACGCTCACAGGATTTGCTCAAACACTCTAATTTTATCTCACTGAAAAATAACACTCCAAAAAATTTCCTTTCTGATCTTTTTCTTTCTCGCTTCTTGGTGCTTCCTTCATCTGCTGAAGCGCTTCTATTTATAGGAGAAAGTGTAGTGCCCAAACAAAAACAACAGTTGTCAGGATTCTTTCCTTTTCGAATATGGTGAGCTAAACACCAGACCTCTTTCAATAAATTAATGCTGCTGAAAAATTTACAACTTGCTCAACCATTATTAATTTGACTGGATTCTTCAATTTCATGTGGCTGGGCACCACACAAAAGGGGCCTCAATTTGTAGAACTGAAGGTCTAGATTCCCCCATGTACTTTTGCTCTCGAGTTTTCTCAAGAATTTCGTAAAAAAATTGGTTGAGATTGTGAAAGGCTGGGGAATTTCAAATTGAAATTTGGGTTGATGGTGGAGGTAAATTGAGTATGAGTTGGTGCTGAGAATGGTGGTTTTTCTCTGTTTTCTGATTTTTGTTTTGAAGATTGAGAATGAGTTGTTGGATTTTTGTTTTGAAGATTGAGAATGAGTTGTTGAATGGATTCAGCTACCTGAATGGCTTGATCCAATTTTTTTCATTCATCCCTTGCATCTGCTGCTGTAAATTGGATTTCATCCCATAGACGTTTGATTTGAACCCATCAATTTGGTTTGCAACTTCAAATGTCTAGCCTCTATTTTTTTGAATTTCTAGCTTTAATCTCTGCTCCAAGTTCTTCTGTTGTTGTTCTAAGATATTCAGACTGAGTTCCTCGGCCATCTTCTGAGGATTGACGACTCTTGATACCAATTGTTATGATCTTGCTTTTTTGTGATTTTATTTTTGTATAATTTTGTGGGTTAGTTTGAGGACAAAAGTGAGTTGGAGAGATTGGGGGAGGGAGAGAAGAAGGAACACGTGAGGAAGAGAGACAGAGTTAGAGGAAAAAGAAATTGAGGGAGAAAATAATGATATTATTTCTTGTTTTCCTTTTTTTTTTTTACTTTACAACTACTTATAAATTTCCTTACAAAAGTCCAACAATATTAACCTATTAATTAAAAATCAAAGTCCAAGACCTATCATAATATAAAATAATATAAATCACTAAGTAAAATAAATATAATATGTATATCGGGTACATGACAATATGTTGTTTGAAACATATATGAGAAACCGCATGTATCAAAATTTGTAAGTTGCATATTTTATTTCGTGAATTTATATATGCATCGAGTATGAACATTTATCTAAATTAATTTGAACTAGTGTGTATCCCGTGCGATGCACGGATAAACAATATTAAATAATAACTATAAATTAAAGATGGTAGTAAATAATATTAACTAATAATTATAAATTAAATATGAGGGTAAACAATTCTAACTAATAATTGTAATTAAGATGTGGAGTTAATATGTGATATAATTTATCGTATATCAGTTGTAAACAATATAAAATTATCTTGTATAAAATAACATCAAAAAATGTATGTTTAAAATAATAAACACCTAAAATATTATATAACGTAAGTTCAGTTGTAAACAATATAAAATTATCTTGTATAAAATAACATAAAAAAAATATATGTTTAAAATATTAAAAAAACCTAAAATATTATATAATGTATTTAAAGTATATAATATTTTACATATCATTATTGAAAGATGTGAAGTCACCTAATTTTTTTCTAAATTATTTTATAAATAAAACATGTATAAAATTATTTAAAAAAATGCCTAAAATATATTATTCAATTTCCAGAAGATGATAATAAGTATAAGTTTGAATTTTAGAGTCCACGTGAGTATAATTTTTAAGATCCATGTACTATTGAAATTATTAATTATGTTAATTTCATGTGAACTTCATATTGATTTATTAATTTTATTTTATTTCCATACAAAGCTGGCCGTCTCATTTTATATTACCATATTTTCGTGGAGATTGAATAAAGTCGATTGCATTTATAAAAATGATTTGCATATCAACATACAATTTATAATGGACTTTTCAAAATTATGTACTATTAACAAATAATATATTATCATTTAATATTTTTTTAAATGCACAATTATTGAAACTGAGAATTTAAAATTATTTTACTTTTTGAAACGGAGTATAGAAAAACAATAGATTGGGAAACAAAAAATTGATAAACATTATCAAGTTTATTATCACACGTACCAAATACAAAAAAAAAAAAAAAA